GTCGCAGGAGCCCACCCATCGGCGTACTCGGCAGATACCGCGAATGGTCATTTTGACTCCACACACGGTCTCTCTCGTACCTTTCAAGGCGGATATACGACATCCACACGGCTAAATTTCAAAAAATGGTCCCAACTAATTGGAAATTCTCAATTTGGCTCCGTAACTACAATTTGTTCTAATGTAGTCCCCGAACTTGCACAAGCGTTGTCCTGGCAAATTTTAGGTATTTCATTTAATCGCCAATAGACTCAAATAAATACAATTAGATCTTAATTTACATTTTCATAGAGAGATCAGATTTTAAAATATTTATATAATTAATGTTTACTAGTATAATATAAAAAATTTAAATTATTTATAATAACATTAAGGTCTAGATTTTTCAAATGAAGAAATAGATAAGCTTTAAAAAGAAAATGATCCGTCACGTCAAACTCCCAGCTCCAAATTCAAATGACAAAAACGATTCTGACGTGGCATTTTTTTCAATTTTATCTCGCTAATTCTGATTTTGGCCAAGGCCACAATTAGGGGTGATATCGACAACTTACACAAGTTAGAGGAGTTAATTTTAAACACATTATAGTCATGGGAGCAAATTGAGAATAATAATTACCTGGGGACCATCACATGCCCCTCCCTGTATCTCGTCGCACTCCTTGCTAAGAAATTTCCACGTTTACCTCTCTCGTCCTATATAAATACAGACATAATTGTTTTCTGTCTTTGATTGGAAGCCAAATTCTGGAAATGGTGGTGAAGATGATGAAGTGGTCTCCGTGGCCGCCACCAGCGCCGGCGAAGAGGTTTTGAGGTGAAAGTGAATAAAATGGAAGTAGAAGGTTTTGTCGACGGCGACGAGGACGGCGACAGGATAGAGAAGTTAATGTGATTGAGGTGAGATGGAAAGGAGGACAAAAGGCTGGTCTCGTCCCATTAATCCAACGTCCGCCGTCGACAAAGCGCCCCAAACACATTTCAAAAGAGCGATTGTGAAGAAGGGCGAGCCTGTCAAATGGGACGACGAATTCGACCACATTTGCAGTTTTCCTCGGTCGCGTCCAAGGACGGTGGGTTTGGCCTGTGGGACGCGTCGTTCAAACTTCGATATGTGAGTTCTAATTATTTGCATTATATGTAAAATAAATTATACGCAATATATTGATTCTTGGGGTTGAATTAGGAACTAATGTCCGGTATTTGTTTAGGGAGCCAAGGCGGACGCAAGGGCTAAATTGGCCGTGGTGGGGCATGTGTCGGTGAAATTAGGAGAACTGGCGTCGGAAATGAAACCCAAGATCGAGACGAAACTTCCTGTCACCAGAGAAGCCACTCTGTCGGTAGGCTCCTTTTCTTTTCGATCAAATCGGTAGCTCATTTTTGATCTACAGGTAATTCGTATTATACATACACAACGCCGTGAAAAAGGGTCTTTTATCCCGCCCTTTTCCGGGAAAATCTATGCAGATCGAAGAATTTCTTGTCGTTTTTTCATCTGGGGAGAAAGTTGGAGCGCGTAATTAGCACGCTGAGGTCGACTTGGTTTTTTTTTTTTTTTTTGAGCGCCTTGGCCCCGGTGGGGGGAGTTGATGTTTATTAATTAATTTATTTATTTATAGAAAGAGTGTTTTTTTACGTTTTATTGAAGGCATTTATTTGCCTTCTTTCTAAAATAAAATAATAAAAATGTTTTTTAAATATTCAAAACTTTTGTTTTGACAAATTCAATGGATTAAACTGTTCTCCCTTAGCTGTCACATAATATGAACGTAATAGCCGTTTTTATTGAGCTTACTGGTTCATTATGTTCGTGCCCATCCGATTAGGAAGATGTGTACACTTTGACGGCTGTGATTTATACAAATAGTTTAATCAATTTCATTTATCTGTTTTTTTTTTTTGGTACAAAATATTGATTAAATTAGTTGACTTGGCTGGAACACAGATGTGCTTGAGCTTTGTGGAGGTTAGAAATTCCCTAGACTCGCCAGTGCCCATTCAAAACTTAACCGAGTCAAAGAACGTTGGAACTGCAACAGATGGGTCAGCAGAGAGAAGACAGGTATCGAAGAGTCAGGGGGAGCTGCGTTTGAATCACTCGGACGATTCAGTTGCGCTTGACTCATCCAGGAGGCACGAGACTGACTTGTCTGCGATGAGACGGATTGCTAGTACGAGTTCAGTGACGGAGGCCGGGTCAGCTCCGAGTCCAGAACCCGTGGCGGACTCTGGGAAGAAGGCTGGGCTGTTCTCTTGGAAGAGGAGAAGGCTGAGCCTCAACCCGGGAAAACGAAAGTAGAGCCATTGATCAAGAAAACGGCTGACGTTGGTGATGATGATGGTGATGTGTGTAAAATTAATATGGGCACAAAACCAAACTGTGCTTCAGTTGAATCAATCTACTCCAACTCCCTAACGGTATGAATTGCTATATGTTTATTTTAAGGCCTTGTTATCTACATAAAATAAAATTTGTTACCTCCTAAGATTTATATCCATTACTTGGTTCAATCTGTTCAATTTGGAACGTTGAGCACTTGTAAACGTTTGGCATGGTTAAATAACCACATGCAATTCTGGGGATGTTTTGTAATGTTTGAGTGTTTTCTGGGCTTATATGCTAGAGTCAAGAGTACCATATTCACGTTAAATTTTTTGGGTAGCTGGGTTGGGGGAGGGTATCCTGGGATCAATTTTCATTAGGCTTTATGGGTTTTATTCGCCACATATGGAAGAGTGATCACAAGCAATCTGCCGTTAGTGCTTGTGTTTGTATTTAGCAATGATGATAAGGATAGAAAAAGTGTTGGTGAGTCATTTCCTGGAAGAGCTTGGCTTGAGTTTGGTCAAACTCAATCGGAGGGTCATAGATCCAGTTCGTGGGTGGTTAGTTATAATGTTGTTTTTTGTTTGGTTGAGGTTCACATTTATTCTCGGCCAAGATATACGGTGACGTGCCTTTAACTTGCTTGACGAGATATACCTTTCTTTTTATCTGCTTTTTTATTTTTTATTTTGTTTCTAGAAACCGAAGTTCATTAAGACATTGAATGGTTCTAAATTCTGATTCTTGGGACATATATTTGAATCTTTGACTCCATCTAGATTGGATGAAGGGGAGAAGACGACAAAAATAATTAAAAGAAAGAGATCATTCATCAAAAAATCAAAATACTAATCGTGACATAATTGATTAGTAAACTAGTAGTTGATATATGGCATACCTGTACTCCGAAGCCTTAATCTTCTCTTCCTTCATATTAATTTTTACAGCTTGGATAGGGTCATGGGTGATATTCAGAACCCTCTTTTCATAGGTTGCCCTTGGGGGATAACTTTGTTATCTAAAAGTACCCTGCTTTGATGTAACTTCTTGCAGAAATTGGAAGACAGTGGAGCGTCATGCGATCCAGAAGGAAGTAGCACCACCTGCCAATGGGAAGAGAAGGAGTTACTCAGCAGAGACGGGGGAGCCAAGCTCAAGGCCAATGTGTTCCTTGCTTCTTTTGACCAATGCAGTGACAAAGCCGCAGGAGAGAGTGCCTGCACCACTCTGGTCGTGGTTATAGCCCATTGGCTTCTGTCAAACCAGCAGCAAATGCCAACAAGGTCAGAATTCGATAGACTCATAATGGACGGCTCCTCCGAGTGGAGAAAGCTCTGTGACAACCAAGACTTGATAAGCCACTTCCCCAACAAGCATTTCGATCTTGAGACCGTGGTAGAAGCCGGCATTCGCCCAATATCCATATTGCGCGAGAAATCATTCATAGGATTCTTCAGCGCTGACAAGTTTGAGTCGTTGAAAGAGGCTATGTCCTTTGATCAGATTTGGGACAAGATCAATGGTGACAATAGACCTAGCATTTACATTGTGAGTTGGAATGACCATTTCTTCATCCTCAAGGTCGATGCCAATGCTTACTACATCATTGACACGTTGGGGGAGCGGCTCTTCGAAGGGTGCAACCAAGCATTTATTTTAAGGTTTGACAAGTCTTCTCAGATGCAGGGGAACGTGGAGAAAGAAAAAGACGGATCAGGGGAACTGTCAGCAGGAGATGAACATTCCGAGTGCAAGGAGGCCAGTGAAGAGGAAATTTGCCGGGGAAAGAATGCTGTAGAGAGTTCATCAAGAGATTTCTTGCTGCCATACCACTTGGGGAACTTGAATCAGAAGAGCAGAAGGGACCAGTCTCCTACTTTGATCTCCATCAGAGGTTACAGATAGAGTTCAACTTCAGCTCTTTATTAGTATCCCCTTCTTTGCCTTCCTCATTTGCCAATTCAAATTCATCTCTTTTCAACTGACAGCATTGTATGATCATGTGTATACTAAGCTGTGTGTAATGTATTTATTGGAGTTGTAGTTATTGAAAATATCAACTCACAAAGTAATTTTTCCACGACATGGGATCAAGTACATAAATCGAACGTTTTCATTCCGCTATATCATAGGCTATATTTACTTATGAACAAACGAATTAAAGGTTAAATTAACTAGTAAGAAAATGAAAACTATGTATCGTAGGCTATATTTACTTCTGAACAATCGAATGAAAGGTTAAATTGACAAGCAAGAAAATGAAAACTATATATCATTGGCTATATTTACTTCTGAACAAACGAATTAAAGGTTAAATTGACAAGTAACAAAACGAAAACTATATATCATAGGCTATATTTACTTCTGAACAAACGAATTAAAGGTTAAATTGACAGGTGCGAAAATGAAAACCAAGTGCCTAGCAACTTGTCTGCCATGTACTCTTCAACTAGAAATGATTTGGTGAGAGTGACACATGTCGACTCCACACGCGCACCAACAACAAATCCCCACTTCAAAATTAGAATAATCCAGGTGGAGTTGGCCATTCTGTAGCTTGTAAACATTTACAAAGTAAATTTATCCTAATCAGTTAATCACTGACAAGTAAGTCAGATTGCAAGTAATTAGGAAGAGTACACATCAGCTGCACCAATTAAAAGATTATAGTCTACAGACCAGATTTTTGATGCCATTTTGGGGTGAGGTTAAGTTCACATGGAAGCTTTGGCTGCAAACAAAATTGCCCATCGTCAGGGGGGTAACTGAAAACCACCTTTCGCTTCTTGGATGTTTCTAGCTTCATATTTTCAGCCTCAGGACCTGATCTTTTCGGTGAGAACAACAGTGGGGCTTCAGCGTTGCCTTGGGGAAGAAATACGGTCCTTTATCCATAGGTAACGTTACACCATTTGACTTTGTCCTTTTTTGAGAAGATCTTGAACGAAAGTCGTCAACATCCTGGGACCAATTATGTGTAATACTTGTGTATGGAGCCGAAAGAGGAGCTAATCGCAATGATAAATCACACTCAACTACACCAGTATAAGGATTTTGGTCGGAACCTTCTGGGTCACGGCGGACAGATTTTGGCGTTTGATTTGTCTTGTCAGGTTTACGATCATTCAAATTTAAGTTGCAAGGGATGCAACAGCTAAACTGGAAATCTTGAGATTGGACCCGATTCTCATGGTATAGTGGATGAACCGAAGAGAAGTTGTGTGAAGCATAAGGGGGAAATTTCTCAGAAAATAGAGGTAACTTGTCAGTTTTGCGGGATTCTGAGCCTACAAAGGTGAGATTCATTCTACAACAAGACATTTGGGGAGCTTTGGTCAGGCAATTTCCCTGAATTTGGACCTCTAAATTGGAAGGACGAACGCAGGTACGGTCTGTAACAGGGCCATCGAGGTAGCAGCTAGGATTATTTCGCCGTTGCCTCCTTGATGCTCTTGTTGGAGTGCAGCCCAAATAGAGAGCAGCTAATTAAGCCAAAAATACATATTATTAGACAACCCCTCACATTGTTTCATACTATTGTGTTTTTTAGTTTTTCCTCAAATCAAAATGAAAAGTACCCAAGTTTCTATCAATACCCACTTTTATTCAAAGACTTAAAACATGCAAGGAATTAACAGAAAGAGATTTGAACTAATACCTTCAATACAAGGCTGTAGAAGCTCTCCCGTTTCGGTGCTCTCATCTCTTCGGATTATGGTGTTAATGGCATCATTTGCCCTGTGGCCAAGAGTCTTAAGATCCATGTACTCAGCCTAAGCAAGCAGTAATTACAAGGACATGATGAACAGAACACAAAGTACAAACACCAATGGAAGTATGGAGTAACAAACATCAAACCTCAGAATTGGCTTTGGAGTACATAATTTCTTCCGTTTTCAAGACCACAGTGGGGAGCTTTTGCTGCCATTCTTTGTTTCTCTTAGTTGATGAGCTATGAATCTCATCCACAATCCTGATCAAACAGATAGAAAGCAGAAACATTAAGCACCGGATATCAAATACATAAGCCCATTAAAAAGGAGGTATATACCTAAAAATTTCTTGGATGAGGGAGCCTCTCATAGGCTGGTGGCTCTCACTATGCCAAGCCCTTCTAACGCACTCAAAAGGCCTTGGCCCAGGTCTAGTCATCTCCAGAGACCTTCCAAAGAGAACCCAGGAAAAAGAGGCAAAGCAGATGAACAAATTACAAAGCACTTCTATGGAAAGAGCGAGAAGGGCTTTGGTTGCCTATGCCTTAGATTTTGCTGGCTGCTGGGGAAAGCAGTGCTGGCGACGATGAGAAATCCAGCAATGAGATCTGTTTAAAAGCATCAGCCCTTTTTTTTTTTTTTTTTTTTTTTTTGGGTGGGGGGAGGAAGGCGGAGACACCTTTCAACTTCCTTTACTTTATTATGGTGTCAGGAACTCAAACTCAATCATTCTGATTCAAAGAGTTAATGGCAAGGGACAAGTTTGGTGTGTCCCCCACATGTCCACGTGTCGACTTCCCCCGTATCCAAAGGTCTCCGTCCCTTCATCTGAGTCCAGCGACCATTCACTTAAGCCCCGGACAAGCTTTCATCAGACTTGTCGTCTTCCATCCCAACCAACCAACCACACCCATGCTTTGACTGTCACTCCCCAACCCGCGCGGGTCAGGGGTTCACTTCAGTTCTTGCTCTAAACTAAATTTATTTATATATTAAAATTTCAAAATAATAAATAAATTGTATTACATCTATTTCCATATCAAGACTCACATTTATTTGTTCTTCGAAAGCACGAATTGAAGGGAAAAGTAATTGAGAATGGATAATTTAAGAGATTGAGCATAATGAGGATTGATAAAAAGGTTTCGTTGGATTTGAATAAGAACTGAACGTGGCAAATTATTTGTGGCCCTATTTTTATTAACATTGCTTTTTAATTTTTTATTTATTAAAATAAATAATTTTGAAATTACTTACGGAAATATTATTTTTTGCAATTGAGTAGTTAACTTTGAATGCAAGTCAATTTAATACGAATTGTCTTTTAAATAGAAGCTGGTTTAAACAGAACTAATGTTACAACAAAAATTAATTTTATTAAAGCTAACTTTTAAATAAAATTCAGTCACTCTACTGCACTAGTCAAAGGGAGAGCAATCAACAAAGGCCTCTTCTTCTAGTAAGAGGAGTAGGTTAATGTGCACAATATATGGAATGAATTTTAAAAATTCATGATTTAAAAGATTATCTTTAATTTAGAAGTGATGTTTACTCGCAAGTTTTTGCAAGATTTGAATGTCATGTGGGAAAGTGGGGTCCTTAGAATCTAATATATAAAAATGGATAATTTTTCTATGAGATTTAGTGAAGGATGTGGTTTAATATGTCAAAAAAGGGATCTAGCTAAATATAGATAACCATGAATATAAATTTTTAACTATTTAAAATGTTGCCACGAATGGAGAATTAAGGACACGTGTTGCGTTTATATTGGAACACTTGTGCTAATTCTGCTAAAGCTCCTACTAATGTGTGTATAGATCTCACATATGTTTTACGAAATGACCGTTTCTTAGACTATTAACATGTACGAAAATCTAAGCGTCGCAGTCAACTTTCCCAAGGGGGGAACGCCATCAACCTTTCCTCGACCTGCCTTCAATCATCCACACACCTTCCATCACCTACCGTTCTGCATAGTAGAGAAGCAACAACCGGAGTTCTGGTTTACTGTCTTCTACCTCTATTGCATATTTTCCCGCTTTTCTGTGGTTTCTTTTAAAAGAGAACTACCAGATGGCCACGGATTTCGCTATTCCTCTTTCAGCATTTAATACGATTTTTTTGTGTCAAAATCGTCCCGGTAAATTTTGGTAAGCATATGCTATCCACATTTATTTTTGGGTTGCTAAAATAAGGAATATATATATATATATATATATTTTTTTTTTTTTTGAAACGGAAGAAATATATTGGATAGTTCTCATCATCTCACATATGGGCATGTTCAGAGAGCTAGAAAAAACTGGAAAAGATAAGGATAAAAATTGTATTCAATTTTATCTTTGTTTTGTCCACATGATAAACCAATCTAATAAAATTTTGGGCAAAATAAATAGCCTGCCAGATTTGAATACAGCATCTTAAGGCGTGAGATAACTTATCAGCCTTGCAAAGTATTTCAAATTTTAATCTTTAGGTAATATTGCCCCTATTATTTATTAGATATCTTACCAAAATATACTCTCCTTTGTTTTTGTACCTTACCTTCTTCCTTGTTTGCCATCGGCCACTGTTTGTTTGTTGTTTGTCGTCACCATTCGAATCGAAGAGAAGAAGAAGATGTTTTCCATCTAATATCCCCTTTCCACTGTAATCTATCAATGTTTGAAAAAGAACCTGAACCAAATCGAAATCCAAAGAAGATTTGGAAGGACTAGAAGGAATGAACAAAGAAGATGTTATGACCCAAAATAGGAGGCACGTGACTGGCACTAGGATGGACTTACCCACCCTAGTTAGTTTCCAAAATCACTGCCAAAATAATTCTAAGTGTGAAAATTTCAAAAATTTCGATTGAACCTCCCCTAAAAACAGGACATATCACAAAATTTCAACTTGTGAAATACACAATTTATGAGTTTTGACAACGATCCTAGACAGTTTAAAGTTGATAAAAGTAAAATCTAACAATTTTCAACATATGTTACTATTATCGGCAACTACAGATTAACAACATGTATGCTTCCAAGAAAACTAATAATTAACTATGATAGAATCAATAACAATACAAGGAGCACACTAACTAAGAATGCAAGGAGACGAGATCCTGTTTGTGAACAAATGGAGCGACTTTGCCAATTTCACCAACCATTAAATTATTACAGTGAAAGTAATACAACAGTAACAAAATAAATATGCCCAAACACAAAATTAGACACAAGGCTCACCAATCAAGAAGCTTCTTTAACTGCAGACAAAACTGAGCCTAGGGAAGGGGAAAATAAAAGGGTGAGCTAGCGCTCAGTGGGTCATAATATGTAAATCCAAGTTTAAGAAAACATGCAGAAAACACTCTATTGTTGGCATAGAATAACCCAATTCAACATGTGGATTAACATCAATAGTCAAACATTAAACATACAAACAACATAAAACTCGCATGTAGGCACAACGTCGTAAGATCACATAAATGTCATGAAATCATACAAGGATTACTCATGAACACCTAACAGACGGAAACATGCTCAGGTACTGTAGGCGGGAATCACAGGCAAGAATCATGAACAAAAATCATGGGCAACCATCGTCCCTATTTACCGCCGTCCTCGCTTACCACCGTCCCTACTTACCACTATCCCTACATACCCTGAGTTAATAGAGCATCAAAATTCACATCACTTTTGAACCTTCCATTTAGAACACGTTGCAGTTTATTCATAGATAGGCATTCGTCACACTCATAACATAATTATAACGCATAAACAATGATAATCACATAGACAATTTATGAATTTTTACTAAAAGTATGGAAATACATATTATTTCTTACTCACAAAATCCTTACTGAAAGAAGCCAACTCCACAAAGTTGTTGGCAATGATAAGGTTGATAAGAGCTGAGGTCCATGAACCTGGCAGCGATTAACAGAGCAGATTAGCTTCAGGTCGGGTAGCATAGAGCTGAACGACTCAAATTGGATGGCGTAGAGTCGAGCGGCTCGAGTCGGGATAGAGTAGAGCCAAGTGGCTCAAATCAGATTTCGGGTAGCTCGAATGGGTCAGAGCTGGCGATGCAAGAATAAATCAGTTTCCGACGGTCTAGAACAGATTCGGTTAGAATGAGCTGAAACGGTTCAGTTTTCGGCAGGTTTGAGCAGTTTAGCTCAAGTCAAAGCAGTCACGAGTAGCTTGACGTAGATCGATTCTTCGAGTGGCTCAACGTAGATCCATTTTTCGAGTAGTTCAAGCATGGCCGAGCAGTTTGGGGTTGAAGGTATTGAGCAGTTCGGCTCCGAGGGGATAGCATAGAACTGTTCAGATTCGGGCAGGGTGGCACACGATGGTTCAGCTCTCAGGCAGCTTAAGTTGTATGGGCAACAGCTGGAGCAGTTCAGTTCCAGCGATGTAGAGCGATTCGGCTCGAGCAACGTTAAGCTGTTTGGTTGGCTTCAGGAAGCACCAAGCGGGTTTGCTCCATGCAAGCTCAGGCAGTGTAATGACCCAATTCATAATTAATTAATTAACCAGAGGCTTAATCGATTAAATTAAAAATTTAGAGGTCAAATTGAGATTTTAAAAGGGCTTGATTGAAAGAAAGTGAAATACAAGGGACCAGATTGTGACTGGGTTAAGAAACTAGATGAACAGTGGGTTAGGTGAACAACTGGCCATACTGAGATGATTGGAGTAGGTATGGCCAATTTTCTTCTATAATAGAGTTCATCTTGGATATACGAATAGAATGCGTTGGGTGATTTGAAGTTTTGAGCTCAGGTTGGAGAGGAATTGGAGATTTTTTGGGTGTATGCTTCGTTCGTGGCTTGCGACGGATTTCTGGAAAAAATTCGAGCTTTGATTGGTTTTTAATCCGGTTGGAAGTTGTCTTGAGGCTCACCTAGTCTAAGCTTTGAGGATTCCGAGCTTCAAATTGATCAGGTAAGTGAGAAATCTTGTTTTTTTTTCAAAAATTTTGATTCGGGTCGTGTTGCAGACCCGGATTTGTGTGTCGGGTAAGGGGCTTTGGGTTGTCAGGCGGATAAGAAAGGACCTCAACAAATCTGGGTCTTATGTCGGGTTGGGCAAGGCCAGGCCTGTTTGGGAACGGGCTTGGCCAGTTTGGGTGGCAACCAGTGGACTGGCCTATGGGGCTAGACTGAGTTGGGTCAACTCGCGGGTTGACTTAGCCTAGGAGTTGTTTCGGTTGGGTTGACTCGACAAGTCAACCCAGCAAGTTGTTGGGATGTGCTATTCTAGAGGATAAGGCAAATAGGGATAAAGGTTAATTGGAAATTAAATAACTAGGGCAAGGATAGGCTATCCATGAAAAATTAGGATTTTGGGTTGATTGAACTGGCCAGTGCTGGTTCAAGATTTGACCGGTTGGTTCAATGGTCAAATCAACTTGGATTTTTAAAATTGGATCGATTCCAGGTTTGAGAGGATGAGA